GTGGTAAACAACATGAAAAGCACAGAAATAAGAGCAGAGGGGCAGGCAGTCTCACAGGTGCGGTAACGTGAAGGGAAGCTGGTAGCCTGCTGGAGAAGGAGATGATGCTGTCTGGCACAGCGTACTTAACACTGGGTCACAGTTAGGAAGAGGCAGCCAGGATTTTTCAGCTTTTCAATTATTTATTTTTGCCTGTGCTTCCTTTCTGAGCAAACATCACTGCTGAGGGAAAATAAATCTATCTGCTAATTAATGGTAAGATGCCCTTCTTCCTGTGTTTGGGCCATGGTATAATTCCTAAAGCAGGTAGACACAGGCTTATAGGCACAGTGATAGAAAAAATGTGGAGATATTCTCTGTATCTATAAAAATGATATTGAAAGACACCTTTTAATGAGCCTTTTCCACTTTACTAAGAATGTAATTGTACAGAAGATTTCAAGTGGCTACCACCAGGAAATCAAATGGGCCATGGACTTTCAATAGAGAGGCACCACTAATGCAGGCACATACAAGCGATGCTGTGCATTTCTGTAATGTGAATTTCTGCCATGAAGAACTCCTGACGTATCTGCACCTGGGCAGAGCAGAGCGCATTTTCTTCCTGGCAAGCTGTGGCAGCTCCCGCTTTGCACCATTTCCTGAATGACTGCATTAATTTGATTGACTCCAGATCAATGGTGCCTCTAAATAAGATTAAATTACACGTTCCTTCTGTCTGTGTTACAGGAGATTACTCTTAGCATAATCTCAAAGGAAGCAATTAGCTGACCACTGGTGTAATGAATCCTAATTATTTTGTTTGTACAAACAATAAAGCCAGAAACATTTGTTTAGCAAGGAAGTGTAATTACTCTGAGCACTCAAGAAAATAAATCAAACAGCGCTACCTAGACCTGTAAATAATGAGCCTTTGACTTCCTATTTGTGCTAAGAAGTATTTTCAGGTAGCTGGGAGCCAACCTTTGAAAATAACATTTATCATAGTTATTACTGAGTATTTGCTTGATTATGTCCTTGGGTGTGCTAGGTGCCCTGCAGAAATGTCCATCTGCATTGCCCTGTCACTGGCACCTGCTAAAAATTCCCTGCAGCCAGTGCAATTTCCTGCAACTGGTTTTTGTTATTCAACAAGAAGTCGCTCACATCGCAATCACTGGCCCCTATTGCTCCTAAGGGCACCAGTGGTGAGGGGCACGTCCTCAGCAAAGGATGAATGATCAGAAAAAAAGCACATTAATATATGTGGAGCAGGCTCTATTCTGCCCAACATTTGGCCATGCGGGCTAGAAATGGAATAAAACCAGAAGGCAATGGAGTGAGCCTGGCCACAGCTGGGTCCTCCCTTTCTCCAGGTTAATCTGCTGCTCCTGCAAAATATTCACAGTTCAAACAGAGGAGACAAGCAGAGTCACTGGGGATCTCATGTTGCAGAAAGCAGCGATGAGTCCAAAAATACTTGAAAATCTGCCACCTCTGCTGATTTTCTGTGACCCAAAAGCATGAGGGAGCTGACAAATTAGAGATAACCTGATCCCATTGCATGCAAACTCACTGGATGTCACAAATACAGTGATGCAGCCCCCAGCCACGTGTACTTTCTGCAGATACTGACTCCTGAGATCAGCCATTCTCCCAGGGCAGTTGGTTTCCTTCACCATGCTTTTGAAAGAATATTCAAAACATAACAAAAAAAATGCTTTTTCTCTTCTCTCAGCCTGAGCAGCGATGCACCCAAAGGAGAACAACGTTATTTTCTGGTTCTCTTAAGCGATGCTCAATAATCTTATGGCAACACAGGCTCACATCCCGATAAAAGCCTTAGCCTGAATGAAAAAGACATCTCAGCTCACAGCACTTAGATTCTCATTGTAGTGACACTGTTTAAATTCAGGATGAATGCCCTGAAGTCAGCGAAATCACACTGAAGTGAGCAAGGTGTGAATTACTGTGAGGTTTGTACTGGCTGGAGGGGAACTGCAAATCACTTGTTGGAGCGATGGGAGCCATTTCCTCCATGCTTATGAGGTATTTCAGTTCCTCATTCCTTCCCACCCCGAGCTGTTTCTCTTTGTTTGTGTTCAGTAGTTATTAAAAACTCTTAGAATGTTTTTTTTGTGCTCCTGGTGTAGGCCTAATTGACAAATGTTTGCTGCCTGCCATTGTGTTATTCCAGTATCCTTGAAAATTAACTGAAGGCTTTAGTCTCTCTCGGAGAAGTTAAGGAGGCATAAATACCATCGACCCCAAGGCAGGTGGGACAGATGAATTAAAAAATGATATCTAATGGCGCAGAGGAGATGTGTTGATGTCTAAAGCTTTTGTTTTGTTTTCCCCTACAAACAACCTGACCCAACCAAATCATATGAAAGCAGAGAATTCCTTGATTTGTCTTCTGGACCATCCCTTTACGCCTCTTCTAGGGAAAAGCAGCAGTACAAAATATTTGGCTGCCTCTAAACCAAGTATTAAAATGTCACATTGTTTTTCCAGCCTGCAAAAATCTGGTGACCTTACTGTATGACAAACAGTACCGAAAAATTATTGCTGAGCCAGACAAGCAAGAACAGAAACTCTTTGAGGGTTTTCAGGAAGGCTGAACTGTGGCCAAAACTATTCAGGGGATGTCTGAAAACTACCAAAATTGGTCAGCATTTCACTGGGCAAAAATATTGGAGATGCTATTCCCCATCTGAGTACTAGAGGAGTATCTGATCTGAATGAGGAAGTCTTGATTTCTGGCCATACTGTACTGCACCCATCTTCTACAGAGATGTTGCAACCGGAGAAATCAAGGGTTTGATTTAGCTAAAGATGAGTGTGTGATTATGCTCCTGCAGCACATTATTCATCCAATCTACTTTGTGTTGGGCAAATCAAACCTTCTTCTATTCCTTCCAAAAACAAAGGGAAAGTGAGAGGACAGCACAAAGCAGAAGCTATCAGTGTCTATAAAGAAAGCAAACCGTGACAGAGAGAAGAGACTCAGCTCAACACTGCTCAGGTCAACAGAAAAACTCGCTGACTTCGTGGAAATGGGATCAGAAATGCTTCTTGGGTTTAATAAGAAACTGGCTGCATTTTGTTTTCTTTAAGTGTTTCCTTATCATCTCCTGTACCGCTTCTGTTTCTTATGTCATCACTTCCAAAAGAAAATCCTTCACAGAAGGAATTCTGCTGCTCAGAATAAGGATTTAGTCTAATAACACTGGACAAATAGCTTGACTTTCCCTGGTTTTCTGCATTAGAAAGAAGGTGGGCTGAATGATCCAAAGCAATTTTTTCAGAAGTGTTGAAAGAATTTTCAAACCTGTTTTAGGCACTTGGCCCTTACATCCTTTAGAAAGAGTTTTGAACTCTTCCTTAGTTTCTTTTGAAAAATGAATTAAGTTCATATAGCATGAGATGTATAAAATCTGAGTTGCCCTACTCTCCCAGGAGACAGATATTTAGCTTCTAGAGTTAAAGCAAGCATAGCTCAAGAGCAAAACCACTGTGATATTTTTCTGTTTAAAATCTGGGGGAAATAAAATTCTTTTTTTAAGCGAAGCTCTCAATAACAAAATTAATCTCAAGAACCTTTAGAAAAGTTAAATTTAAAATAATATCTGAAAAATATCTGATCAAACATTTTTTAGTTTAGTGATAGGAAACTGTCATACCTTTCTGAATCTGGCTGGTTCTTCTGCAAATTTAGGACTCTGTTTAGAATTAAAAAAAAAAGAAAAGGAAAGGAAAAAAAGAAGCATGAACATGAGCTTTTTAGCATTAGGCAGAAAGCTGAAACGTTTTCAGGTTCCTGACCATTTCTATCAGATGAGCAGTTCTCCCAGCAATAGCTTTGACTTTACTGACACCTATTGATCATATTTATGCTTACACAAGAGTATCAACGAAGCATAACTCATTACAATCAAAGGCAACCAGTTCTAAGAAATATGTTCTTTATTAACAGAGGCCATGCTTACCTTCCATGCACTTTCAAGAATTTGTATTTTAAGTAAGATGGGTCTCTTTAGTTTGCAGAAGAGGAGACTGAGGGGAGACCTCATTCATGTTTATAAATATTTAAAGGGTGAGTGTCACGAGGATGGAGCCAGGCTCTTCTCGGTGACAAACAATGATAGGACAAGGGGTAATGGGCACAAGGTGGAACACAATTCTCTCTTAAATTTGAGAAGAAACTTCTTCTCAGTGAGGGTGACAGAGCACTGGAACAGGCTGCCCAGAGAGGTTGTGGAGTCTCCTTCTCTGCAGACATTCAAAACCCGCCTGGACGCCTTCCTGTGTAACCTCATCTGGGTGTTCCTGCTCCGGCAGGGGATTGGACTGGATGAGCTTTTGAGGTCCCTTCCAATCCCTAATGTTCTGTGATTCTGTGATTCTGTGATTTGGATTTGAAGACAAGGTTTCCCAAAAGAGAAAATTTTCAGATGCTTCAAATTTTAGATGTTGAGTTCAGATACCTTCCAAAGCACTTGCATATAGGAAGTACAACATGCACACCTGTTAAGTCTAATCTTCCAATTAAGGTATCTTGAAGATGAACACAAGTAGTTAAGCTAGAAAAATCTTAATAATTATGTATGTTTATGCTAAGCACATGAAAATATCTTCAGCATGCCCTGGAACATCGTATATATGGAGATTAATTCTGGTGTCTTTAGCATGTCTTATATATAACAACTCGGTAACTTCTTTAATCATTTGGTTCTTGCATTAAAATACTTCCTTTTAATTTAATTCCAAATCAGTTTCAAAAAGGACCAGATCTGACTGTGCACAGTTACTTTCTAAGTCAGTTCAGTCAAAGGCTGTTCTGATCACTCAGTCTCACAGCAGAAGGCACAAATAACAAACAGTGAATATATTCCTACTGCAGGAACTGTTAAAAATTATTAAATCGAGAATGTTGTGTGGAGAAAGGGCAAAAATCTACAACACAACCTGAAAGAGCAATGGCAAAGATCAAAAACTGTGAATTGAGTGCTGTCACCTACCGGTGAACTCATGGACTCTTTCAGTTTGGATTTGTAGAGCATCCATCTGTAACGCAGGTCTTCCAGATCTTCAGAGTTCCCAAGGACAGGATGAAGATGAAGAAGGTCCTCAAAGAGATGCTGACCATCAGGCACACGAGACTGCAGCTCCTGCAGGCAAAGACAAGGTCAGTAGCAACTCTGAATTCAAGAAGGCCTCCCTGGAAATGCCCAGTCCAACAGCTACATTCCCTTCTACCACTCCAACTCTGGCAGACCTTTCTTAGCATAAAGGGTGAAATATTTGTCCTAAATTCCTGAGCTTCACTCTAGAGTTTCCTAAGGCAGAGAGTGTAGTGTTTGACGGCTTGTTTTGTTTTGGGGATTTTTTTTGTTTGTTTTGTGGGTTTTTTGGTTGGTTTTACTGTTGTTTGGTTGTGGCGGGGTATTTTTTGTTTTGTTTGTTTGGTTTTAATTCTGAAAAAATTTGCACTAGCTGTAATCTTTGTCACCATGTTCAATCCCTGAAAACTCACCTCCAGTTTGCTCTGGCGTGCCTTAATTTCCTCTGTGGAAGATGAAGTCACAGCAAGAATTTTGGTCAGTTTGCTGTTTTCTCCTTGTAACCACTCTTCAAAGTTGCGCAGAAGCTTCAGGTGGCTGCTTGTATTTTGCACTTCTCTTGTCCTCTCCTAGGTTGCGGAACAACAGGAACAAAAAAGCCCTTACTGTTAAGTCAGATGTTTCTCTGAAGGCCTGATTGCAAGATCTGAATCTCCAACTTTGTAACCCATAACATCAAATGAAGCCAAAAATGTTGTTTTTGTGAAGCTGGTATAAAGGCAGACACAGAGTCCCACTCTCACCTGCTTATGGTTGGGATCTACATCTAAAAGGTAGAAGGCACGTCCAGGCACCCATCTGTTGTCCACAAAGGCTGTTTTCTTCTTCTTATCAGCCACTGGTCTATTTAACTGCCACTTTTTGAGAAGACTTGAAAACACAAAACCAGAGACATCAGTGCAGTGAAACTTCTAATGATGATCCACATTCTGGCTGGGGCTATAAGGGACAATCCTAGTGAAACAGCACTATTATTCTATTATTATCATCACTATTAATAGCACTATTACTATTAAAGTTATTTCCAACGTTTTTTTCACAAAATAAGATCAAGACTGGAGTGTCTCAAAGCAGCACCAGTCCTCTAGTTCTAATTTTCCAAGTGCTTTGTTTTCTTTTATTCAGGGGAGTGAGGGACCAAAAAACCCCCAAACACTACCTTGACAATATAGCCTTCAGTCTGGTAACAGCAGGCAATACAATCAAGCTTTCCTCAATTTAGTCAGTCTATTTTTATGCCTATTTTGACACTATGTATGAATATACTCACACATGTAGCACAGTATTAAATTTTAATGCAGACTAGCAAATATGAGCAGCAGTTTGACACTGCACAGTGAGGGCAAAATAAATTAAGCCCACATTTGCCGGCTAAGAGAAAATTTTAGCTCTGTCTATACTCCTGCATGTTTGCAAAAGGCACAAATCCCAGTGCAGACGTAGCCTCCTTGGAGATATCTCCAGATTAGACTATGAGGAGAAAAGGAAGGCGAGGCACAACAGCAGAAGCCACCCAGTCTGTGTCCTATTTCCTCTGATACGGATTGGCCATACAAGGGTGAGCCAGGTCCTACAGCAGTAAAGAGCATCACCTTCAAGGAACACGAGGAAGATGTACACGAGCACTTACCCAGTTGCCATCTCCTTCAGCGATCTCCACGACTCCTTCAGCTGATCCAGCTCTGCCTGGACGTGGGCAGTCTCCTCTGGGGAAGAATTCTCCATGACCAGCTGGCCATGAGCTTCCACAAGGTGCAGCTGGATCTCCTTATCTGGAAACTCAGCTAGCCATCTCTGAAACGTACAGCCCTTACAGTTACTTCTAGGTATCCTGGGTAAAGCAGAGGCTATGTCAGACTGAAGGCCATGCTCAGTCCAGGACTATGCTGGTTCTGTTGGCACTAGCTAGAACATACCTAGCGGGAAAAAAAATACGCTGTGGATTCTTGCAAAGAGCCAACATAGGTCAAAGAGCTGATGGGAAAACTTAAAGGGCAGAAGCTGTCATGCATCCCTTCTGTAGCCTTCCCTTCCCATGAGACATCTTGGTTTGCAAAAGCTGCCAGCTGAAGTAACCGGCCAGTGTGAATCTAGCATGCAAAATGCTGCTACACAGGGAAAAGCCAGCAGCTGTGGAACACCTTAGTTCAACACAGCATAAGGGTAACAATGTTCAATTTTCAATGCATACATACAGGCAAAAGTAGGTATTGTCAACAGAGATCACCCTGGCAGGATGACCTCTTTTTAAAACCACTTTGATGATATTTTATCGACCTCAACATTTCTTTAGCTGTTTCTCACTGTTCTTGTCTTTTACCAAGCTCCACATCCCACTGTACAAGGCAGAGCAGTGAGGCCGCAGCAACCAAAAGTTACCTCAGGAGGAACAAACCATCATTACTCTTCCCAGCCTGGAAACCCTTGCAAGAAACCCCTGCCCTCAATGTCTGAATGCTGCAAAGTGAGTAATTAACACCTTATGCTAAGATGTTTTCTCACCTCGAGGTCTGCCAGCCTGCCCTCAGTGTTCTCGTCTCCATCAGCACCCTGGTAGGAGCCAATCCTCTCTGTGGTTACTGTGATCCACTGCTGGAGGTCAGACAGTTTGTCATTGTATGCCCAATGCTTCTGAACGTGCTCTTCACTCTCCTGTATCATCGCCTACAAATGATGAAAATATGTCAGCAACTAAACACAGGGAAAAAAGCAGTTTCATTACTGAATCTAATACCATGACTACCAGCAGAGAATCTCATGGGTGAGAAGGAAAAAAACCAGCTTTTGATGAGACACAAAAAACTTTATCCTTTAGCATCAGTGGCATAGAAGACACCTACAAGCTCCTGCAGGCCTGAACTCAACCACATGGGGGGGCGTTAAGCACTAGAATAGCTCCCTTTTCAGCTGAAAAAGAAGAGAGAATATGGGGTTTTTCCTACTTCAGTCAATATTAAATACATCTTATACTTCTTGAATCAGAAATGACTGGTCAGACTTTTTTGGCAAAAGTACAGTTCACTAATAAATGGGATTACTGAGCTTTAAATGAGAATTCCACAGTGCATATTAGGATAACACATAATTTTATGGTGACCTGCATAACTAAGGTCATTTTATAAGCTCTTCTTTCTGAGACTGCTTTGAAAGATCCTTTTGTAGCTAAATTACAAGCTACAAAAAGCCTCAGGTGAAATCAAGTACTTATGCAAGTGCAACACTTTTCTCTCATTAACTTTTAGGTCACAAAGATACACAAAACCAAACAGTTGGTTTGGCACTATAGCACTGTCCAGGAATTTGTCAGCAAGTCCAAGCACCTCCATGATAATGTAACTGCAATGCATTTTGGGCCAGAAATCTCAGGTCCACTCCAGAAATAATCTATATAGAAACAAAATCTGTCTGGATGGTATCCTATCCCAAAGGAAAATCACCTTACAGATAATTGGAGAATCCTGGAAGAGTTATCAAAGCAAAAAGTATTCAGTGCCTTCCTCCCCTGATAGAAAATATCTGTCACTCAAATCATATAATCTCATACATTTAAATATATATGTATTTTTTAAATAGATGCAACTGACAACTCCTCAGGCAACTAAAAACTCTTCCTTGTTACCTCCAGTGATCTTTTCAGGGCTTGAGAGTCAGATGAAAGTTGGTTCATTTCATGCCTGTGTGTGGTATTTGACTGAATGAGCTTCTCCACCTCTTCCATTTGAATCGCAAGCTCTGCCAAGTCATCTTGGATCATCTGCAGAGGAAAAGGCAGATTCCATACGGGTAATGTGCTAGATGTGGCATGGCCCTCCACAAAACATACACTAAAGGTAGCTTCATTTGACAGTGTGAGGAACAATCACTGTCATCAAGAAAATTAATGGGTTTGGTTTTCTTTGTCTAGAAGGAAATGTTTATGAAAGAAATGGTTGGATGTTCTTACACGTTACCAGTTGATAACAGTGAAGTCAAGTTGCTGAGACACTGCAGAGGAGACATAGTACAGTCAGCTATGTACTGCAAAGTAACACCCCTGTGGTCACCCGGGGTGAAGGGGCACGACACAGCTGAATCACCGCAGCTCACCATGGCCAAAAGGAAAAGTTGCATCCCCTCTCTTTTCCTCTCCTGCTCTTCTCTCTCCAAACCCAGATTCTACTGCATGTTGGACCCCTTGCTGAATCAGTTCAAAACACTAACAGAAAATGATCACTGTATTTTTCTGTTGATTATTTTTTTATCTTAGCCAGCTCAATCAGCCTGTGACAAAGTAAATCCGACACGTGTCAAAGCTGTGACAAAGTGAAGAGCAGAAAGGGTGGATGTGAAAGGATGTGGGAAAATGGGACCTCTCTGCTTTTGGAGGGAGTTACAGTGGTTCAGGTTAAACTGTGCAGTCTCACTCCCAGCTGGTAGTATCAGGATACATTTTCTTTAATAAATAAAATAAAACTAGCACAAGAAGTTGTGGTACTGACAGCTTCCAGCTGCTTGCTCCTTCCCTGAAGCCCAGAATGCCATTTCTTCATCTGCATTGCTTCAGTTTCATCTGTTCCATGCTATGAACTGGACCCAATGAAATTATCTAACACACAAACAACTAAGGGGACAAGGTACTGAATTCCTAATGCTAATAAAATATGAACAAACAGGACCACAATTAGCTGATGATATGCCAGTCAAACATTAGTGTAACATACCTGGAGTCTCTGGAGCTGTGTCTTTTTACCCAAGAGGTCAGGCCGTGGTTCTTTCTCTAGATCTAATTTGGCTTGGATGGCAGATAATTTCTTCTGCAAAGGTGCGAAACCAGCATCAAAGTCCTTATGTTGCGATATCAAATTCTAGAGGGAGAAAAACAAAGACAAAAAGTCCAGCATACGACATACATCCCTGGGCATCATCTTTTGTCAATGTCCATTTCATACTCAGAACAAATACCGAGCTACAAAAAGGGATTGGGCACAGCTGGTTAGCACTAAGTTTGTGTCTATAAAATTGGCTTAGTAAAAGAGTAGCCATTGTCACAGGCAAAGACTTTATCTGGGCTTTGGTGCTCACCTGGAGTTTGCTCTTGCTTTGCAGCAGACTTTTGTGTAGAACTTCTCTCTCCTTTGAAGCTTCAGCTACTTCTTGCAGGAAAGACTTTGCATTTTCTTCCCCAAGGATATTGTTGAGCAAATCTTTCTTCAGCTGTAACGTCATCAACTTCTCTTTGAACTGGGAGCTTTCAGCAAGAGCGGCCTAAAGGAGAAAAATTCTTCCAGTGAAATCATACAAAAAAAATTAAAATAAAAAAATACATAACCATAAGAATATTCTCACACAAGTCACACAACCAAAGCAGTATGACAAAGTCAGGTAAAAACAGCATGCTGGGCCGACAAGGGGTAACAGAAGGTACCTGGACAGTGCCCAGTTAAAGGAAAAGTCTTCCTGATAATGTTAGAAGCACCAGGGCTGCATCCATTTTGTGAACAGAAATAGAGGAAAGCTGTGCTATGGAAAGAGTTGTCTGTGCAGAGGAGAGGCCTAAACAACCAACAGAAAGGACAGCTTGAATGCTCATCCTGAGGATAAACTCCATCCCTGTACACAGACACATTTATTCTGGAGATCACAAGGATGACAAAGTAACAAACACACCTGCACGTGCAGAAATCATGCATTTTAATCCCACAGCTATATTGCTACACATTTCTTAGCAGAGTCCACAGACTTCCCGTCCAGGGAGATTTGGGCTAATGCTAAATAATATTACCATCGTTGTTAAATACATCTAGTACTTTAATTCAGCCTATTCAGTTGGCAGCTGCAGTTAACCAAATGGAGGGCAGAAATTAAGACATTCCAGTACAGCTAGAGCCAAGTATTGACCTCCATACTGGGGGGTTCCCCTCATACTGGAAAGGCCCTTCCAGCTGCTGCCATCCAGCAGCCGTATGCAGGCAGCTGCTGGCACAGCTTGGGCAAACACACACCAAGCATCAGTGTCTGAGCTCAGGAACAGGTTTGCTACCTCAATGTGAGCCAGCGCTGGCTCTGGAGTCTCCAGGAGCATCTGGACCAACGGCTTCCACTGTTCAAAATCTTGCAGGGGATTTTGGAAGAGTGTTCTCAGCTGAGTTCCTGTATCAGTGCTCATTTTAGATGTCTTGCCTCTCACACTGCGAGGATAAAGCGACAGCCGAGAGAAGGATTATGAAGAAATCCAAGTCCGAACATCCTATTCATCAAGGCATGAATTAACACAACACTCATGTGAAAACTGCATCCAACACAAAGACCTCCATCGTTTTCACTGTCTGAGCCCGCTGTTTGCACTGACAGCTGCTCTGTCACTCAGAGACACCCGACAAAACTTTATTTAGATGCCGTAAGACACATTTGTCTCTTGCGCAACTGCGTACCAGGAATTACTTTCTAGCAGGCAGCAGTCTGCTCTCGTATGCGATCTTTCTTGGCTGCTATCATCAGCATGATTTAACAAATCATATTATTGGAGCAGTCTCACTGACTGAGGGGAGGAACAAGCCGAGAGCGTCTCGCATTTAACTGCAGTCGCCTCTATTGTTTTACATATTACTGAGTCTTTGTTCCTTTAAAAAAATTACATTAAGACATCTTTAATCAGTGTTACCTATAAAAAGAGGAAAATACATGTTTTTTCACATACAAATTTTAAAAATTTTGCAGAACTGCTTGTATTTATATTAACATATATGTGATTCTGATAAAAGCTTTGTATTTATATCTATGTATACGCATACATGCACAGCTATATGTGTGTGTGTGTGTGTATATATAT